ATCTAAGTATACATTGTTATTTCTAGCATTAGTTACCCAAGACTTGTTGCTCCCTTACCATAAAAGGGCTCCCAAGTCTTTAATTCTGCATGCCTCCCTCTCTAAGACATAGCAACCTACATCTTTTGCGCTCTCTAGTGGAGATCTATATAGATGATAAAGTAGGTTAGCATCGTATGTCCTCTCAATAATAGGAAAACCTTTCAAATTGGTATTTTCGCTTTCCAAATTCAATTTTTATAAAAGAGCTCTGGATCATATCTAGCCATGATTTGGGTACTTTTAAAGGAAGCATACAGAATAAGTAGGACCAATTAGGTAGAGTGTAGGCGTTGATCAAATTAATTCTCCCCCACCAAGTAACTCCAACATGTTTCCATTTTTTTTAATGATAAATTCATAGCTTTAAGATGTTTTAAGAAATTAATCTGCATTGTGTGAGATCTATACCTACGTAAGTGAGCGATTCTTTTGGCCATGCAAAATCATGATTATTTTTAATCCAGTTCTTATTTTCTTTGCTTACATTAATATCCATAAGGATTGACTTATTGACACTAATTTTATAATTAGAAATAGCGTTGTAGGCCTCTATCTCCTTCATAAAGTTTTTCAGGGAATTGACAGGGTCGGTTAGGGTCATCAGCAGATCGTCTGCATACAGGTTTAATTTAAGATCTTTAGGTTTTATTGGAAGGCCCCTAATACCATCATTATGTCTTATATTGGTGGCTAAGATTTCCATTGCAATAATGTATAGGATTGGAGATAGCAGGCAACCCTGTCTAGTCCCGTTGTGTAAAGTGAACCATTCAGAACAAATATTTTTTCCAATCGTTCTTGCCGAATATAGGCAAGAATAGAGTGACAGGATTGCCTGATGCATCCATCCCTCAATACCAAGCTTTAAAAGTGTCCTACTCAAAAAATTCCAACCAACCCTGTCAAAAGCCTTCTCAGCATCTACTGCAATGGAATTTTGTTCCTATTCGCGCATTCTAGAATATCTAAAACATTTCTGGTATTATCTGTAGTGGTACGACCTGGCACAAATCCAATCTGATCTTGGTTGATGATAGTGTTTAAAGTTACCTTCAATCTACTAGATAGAATTGCTGAGACTATTTTGACGTCCCCGTTTATCAATTATATTGGTCTATAACTTTCTACTTTAGTCGGGTCTTTTCCTAATTTTAAAATGGGCAGAATATTCGCTCTCAACATTTCCTGAGGGAAAGAACCCTGTAAAACAATTTGATTAAATGTATCTGCTAGATGTACACTTAGTAGCTCCTTAAAGGTCTTCTAAAATAGGTTTGAATACCCATCTGGGCCGGGAGTTTTTTTATTCCTTAATTTGGAAATAACTTCCACCACTTCTTGTATCGTTATAGGTTGATTTAAAATATGTTTTTGATTCTCTGAAATTGTTGGAGTGGACATCTTATCTAAATAGGTGTCAATATTATGATTAAGCAGATGCAAATCATATAGCTTATCATAGTATTAAAGCATTGACCTATTTGTGACAGATTCCTCCACCATGGATTGCACCTTCTAAACTTTTTCTGTTTATTTTTAATTGTACTGCCTTGAATCATTCTGTATACGAACTAACCAAACACTTAAAATCTATCCAGTTCATACACAGAACAAACTGTCAAACAGAACGACCACCCAGGACCGTCGTTGCTGCTAGTTAACCTCCTTGACCTTCCTAACACCTGCTCTAACCGCAATCCCTGAACATTCTAAGTGGTGGGCTAGGTGGCCGCCATTCGTATGGACGAACAAGAGGTGGCGAACGCTTCAAGCGGGTTGTGGCCGTCAAGTGCATGGAACCATTATCGGACACTTGACGGCACGAACACCACTGAGACTTCCATCCACACTTATGTTCGTTTCCATTCATCTGACGAAAACAGCGTTCGGTGAAACCAAACTCCCGAACGAGGGATACACAACTAGCCTTCTCACGAACGGTTCTTTCGGTATTTCATTGTGTTTGGAGTTCCCGAAAGAGACCGACCGCACAACCTGAATCTTTGGAACTATTTTGGGCAGGAGCCTTGTGTGCGGTCGGTCGGAAACAAAACTGCCATAAAACTCTTAAACCACTGAACCGATCTGGGTGTTTTTTTTAAAAAATATGTTGCTTCCCCAGATCGGGGCTATCAGGGTATATAACTTGTGTGGGGATTATGTGAGTTTTTGGGGTACTTTCGTGTTACCTGAAAATTTATTTATTTTTCACCTAGAGATAATTGAGTTAGTACAGTATCTATCTCAATTATCTCTCAGGCAGAAGGTAGGCATTGTGTGATTGTAATTGGGAGTGTCCTGCATTTGAACACCACTGTCATTGATCTGTGATTTTATGTTGTAGTTCCCCACAAGGTCCATGTGGGAGTGCTCCTAGCATGGGGAATTGCATAAAAGGCCAGTGTGGCTGCCAATTTATCAGTTCTTGCTTACCCTCATCATAAAGTCTCATCTCATGATTGTAGCGACCAGCTATACCTGCTATAATCACCAGCTCTTATAAGAGCTATACTATCCTGGGAAATCGGAAAGCATCACTCTGATAAGGGGGGAAAAGGACGGCTCAGGCAGTGAAACCTCTCATCCTCTCGGGGTAGCTGCCACACTATTGCTTTAGGAGTGTGTTACATGATCAACCACTAGTCTGGTGATTTAGTTTAATGCAGTCCTGTCTCTCAGTTTCTGCATCATCAGTTTGATTGCCCTTACTGTATACCTTCACTCTTAACCTCTCCATAATTTTAGCATTCCATTCTAATATTTTTTGGTTAATTTGGTTCTGAATATTGTTTATGGATTCTAAATTTGTTTTTGATGGAGAATTCTTATTTATTCTAGAAGCTTTTTCTAGATCAGAGTATAGAGTCGACAGTTCAACTTTATATTTTTTTAAGGTGTGAATTTAGACTACTCAAGTTGCCTCTTAGAGTTGATTTGAAAGCAAACCGGTTAATAGCAAACGAAGTATCTCTTGGCTTGTTTTCTTACAAAAAAAAATGCAGATTTTTTAAATATTCTAAATTCTTTGGATTGGATAAAGAGGAAGTCATTAATACGCCACGTATTTCTATTATTGATACTCCATTGATCTTTCATGGACCAGACAATAATATTTTGGTCCGACCATGTATTCTCTAGTATTCTAATCTATTCTATATTTTCCAGAGAGACAGGATTGCCCCAAACCATGTCAATGCGAGAGTAAGAGTAAAAAAACCTCTAGAAAAATTGGTGCATTCCCTTTCATCTGGATATAAAGATCTCCAAATGTCAAATTTATTCATACTATTAGAGATTTAGCCGTCTTGAGTTTCTTATCCTGAATTGGTGCTTAGGCAGTTTCTTCACTCTACTAGGATCTAACACACAATTAAAACCTCCTGCTATTAAGCATAATCCAGTATTTAATAAATCTACCTGTTCCAGTATTTTATTCAGTGTCGTAACCGGGGAATAATTTGTGATGTATATGTTGACCAGTGTGTACATGATCTCATTCAGTTTGCATATAACAATCAGAATCACTGTGGATTTGTGTATTGATTTAAAATTTCCAATTTTACTCAATAAGCAAAGGGTAGCTTACTATCCCTAATTAGACAGGAACCTAATTAAAACAGAATGTATAAGTAACCCATCCTACCCCTCCCACCCTCAGTCTTTTTGTTCCTGTCCTATCTCTATAGGATCAACTTGGTCATTTCAGGACTAAAAACTTTTTTTTTTTATGACTTTTATGAGCATAGTCTTTCCTTTGGCCCCTTGGCAGTTCAGCCTCTCTCCTTGCGAAGTCTCCAGTACACAACCCTGTCCAAAGGTGTGTCCCCTGGAGAAACTCCTTTAGTGACCGGGGGTTCTAACTTTCTATGACCCGATGGGGTAGCAAGATCATGCCATCATCATAATTCCTGCAGTGACCCAAGGGGTAGCAGGCTGGGCATGCACATACAAGCATACAAAAAGCACAGAATAGGCGCTCACTATAACACCAGAGTGAAAGGCAGCAGTGAACCAGCAGGTATTCCGCAAACTTTGCTAAATGTCACGCTCTCGATCAGGTCAGGTAGGAGACGTTTGCCAGAGTTAACTGAAGCATTATAACAGCATTATAACGTGTAAAATAAATAATATGGAAAAGGAAAGGAGAAATAAACGTTAAGGCAATATGCCCTATCTAAAAAACAAACAAGTGTGCAAATAATAAAGATGGATAAAAGTGCAGGGTTGTATAAATCCAGGTAGGCAGGTTAAAGCAGAGATGTATGTTATCCAGGTTGGTATGAAGCAGGGTTGTATAAATCAGGTAGGCAGGTTATAGTAGAACTTCATTACATATGATACAGGTGAGTCTGAGGTGGCTAGGGAGGCCACTAGAGGTGAAAAACAGGAACTGTATTTAAAGGGACTATTAAATGGAAAAGTTTTACGTGTCAGGATAGGAACCTGACACTAAATTTCAAAATGTGACAAAAAAGAGAGTGTGGTACACAGCGCCAAGAAGATGGAAGTGTATATGAAAAAACAGTGTTTAGTAGACTATATACAATATTTCCACTTAGGGGTGTATTCCCTTGTGTTTCCAACAGTTTAGACATTAATGACTGTGTATTGAGTTATTTTGAGGGGACAGCAAATGTGCACTGTTATACAGGCTGTACACTTACTAGTTTACATTGTAGCAGAGTGTCATTTCTTTAGTGTTGTCACATGAAAAGATATAATAAAATATTTACAAAAATGTGAGGGGTGCATTCACTTTTGTGAGATAGTTTACATACACTTATAGCCAGGGCCGACGCTTCCTATAAGGCGAACTAGGCAGCCGCCTAGGGCGCCATATAGGAGGTGCCCCCATCGTCGGCCCTTTAAATGCCACAAGTTACAGCCTGAGCACTCTATAGAGAGCACTCAGACGGCCAAACAGATTGTTCATCTTCTTAAGTTGTTCTCAGCCGACGATGAGGAAGGCACACCGAGTGCACCTCCCGTCGTCCGCACGGGTCATGCCCAGAGAGGAGCCTCGGCCACGCTTACAGGAAGGAGGTGAGGAGGAGAAGATTACAGGGAGGGAGGGTGGGAGAACATTATAGGGGGAAGGAGTGGATAAGGTTACAGGGAGGGAGGAAAAGATTACATGAGGGAGTGACACAAGGGAGGGGGGGGAGAAGAAGGGAGGAAGATTACGGGGAGTGGAGAAGATTACAGGAGGGGGTGAGATGATTACAGGGGAGTGGAGAAGATCACAGGAGGGAGGGGGGGGAGTGGAGAAGTTACAGGAGGGGGAGGGGGGGAGGGAGAAGATTGAGGGAGGGGGGAAAGAAGAAGATTAGGGAGGGGGAGGAGAAGATTGGAGGGGGGGGGGAGAAGAAGAAGATTACAGGGAGGGAGGGGGAGAAGATTATAGGGGAGGGAGAAGGTTACAGGAGGGGGCAGAAGATTACATGGGGAGTGGAGAATGTTACAGGAGTGAGGGGGGGAGAAGATTACAGAAGATGGGAGAGAAGATTACAGGGAGGTGGGGGGAAAAGATTGGGGGAGGGAGAAAGTTACAGGGAGGGGGGGAGGGAGAAGATTGAGGGAGGGGGAGAGTCAGAAGATTGAGTGAGGGGGGAGAAGATGAAGACACAGGAGGGAGGGGGGGGAGAAGATTATATGGGGAGTGGAGAAGAATACAGGAGGGGGGAGAAGATTACAGGGAGGGGAGTGGGGGGTAAAGGTTACAGGGGGAGGGGGGGGAAGGGGAGAAGAGGAGGGAGGGGAGATAAGAAATACCAGGAGGGAGAAGGAAGAGAAGACAGAGGGAGAAGAAGAGAAGATTACCGGAGGGGGGGAGAAGAGAAGATACGGGGAGAAGAAGAGATTACAGGTGGAAGGTGGAGAAGAACAGAAAATCACAGGGAGGGGAGAAGATTACAGGGAGGTGGAGAAGAAGAGAAGATTACAGGAGGGGGGGAGAAGAAGAGAAGATTACAGGAGGGGGGAGAAGAAGAGAAGATTACAGGAGGGGAGGAGTTAAAGGAGGAGAACACAGGAGGGAGGGAAGAAGAGGAGAACACGGGGAGATGAGAACACAGGAGGGGGGGAGGAGAACTTGGGAGGGAGAGACCAAGGAAGGAGGGGTGGTGGAGAGACCACAAGGGAGGGGGGGAGGAGAGACCCAAGGGAGGGGGGTGGAGGACAGAACACCAATGGGAGAGGAGAGACCACCACCTGGAAAGAGAGGAGTGAGACCACTAAGGGGGAGACGAGAGACAACTAATGGAAATTCGGGGAGAAAAAGTCGGGGAGAAAGTCTAAGGGAGGTGGGGGGGAGAGGAGAGACCACTAAGGGGCAGGGGAGATCTCTAAGGGATGGAAGGGAGAGCTCTATAGGACAGAGGACAGGACAGGACAGGGAGCTCTTTCACACCACGCGCACACACACACACACCCAATGCATCCCTATACACACAGAAACACAACATGCTTCCCTTACAAACAGAGAAACACACAATGCAACCCTTACACATAAAGACAATGCATCCTTTGCACATATACACAGAAACACACAATGCATCCCTTACTCACACATGCAAACACACTGCTTCTCTTACACACACACAGAAACACAATGCATCTCTTACACACACTCAACGCACCCCTTACAGACACACACACTGTATCCCTTACATACACAGAAACACACAATGCATCCTTTACACACACATGCAAACAAGAGTACTTACATTCCTAACAAAGTCAGTGCCTCTATTGATATATTCATCAATTTGGTTAAGAAAGATGTATATAGCTTATGGAGGAAACAGAAACAGATATAGATATAACAGACAAACTCCTATTTTCACTAAACAGGACTGGCTGAATATCAATCATTTGAAAAATAGTCGATTATCATTAAACAGGCAGAGAAGGGGGGTGCATTGGTCATTATGGTCCGTATCTACTACGTTAAAGGAATAGGTACACAGTTAACCAACCTTACAAGTTACCTTCCCATGATCCAATGCACAGACTTAAGCTAGAATTGGAGGCATTAAATAAGGGGGCAAAATCTAGAGGAGTTCTCAGAGGGAGAGTATAGATACATGAATAAAAAGCATCCTTGAATTCCTGTTTTCTATACTCTCCCCAAACTTCATAAAATCCCCAATTTCCTCTAGGGATGTCGATTGTAAGTGGTACTGGGTCCATACTTCAACAACGAGTAGAAATTTTGAAAGTTCCTATTTAAGTATGTTCCCTCATAAAAAATATACATTATTCATGCATTAAGGACACAATAGCTTTTCTTTAATTGATAGAAAATATCACGATACCAGAGAGTGAATTCTGGTTGGTTACAATGGATGTCCAATCCTTATACACTTCCATCGATCACGAGAGCGGTCTAAAAGCGGTAAACTGGACATTAGATAATGATATAACTATGGCACAGTATAGTGACACAAGGAGATACATTATGGAACTACTCAGATTCTTTCTGACTGAAAACTACTTTTGTATGAGGATAAGTTTTATAGACAGATTAAGGGCAATGCCATGGGCTCTAATGTCGCCCCAACATACACAAATGTATATATGAATTGCATGGAGGAGATGTGTATTATTAAGTACCGTCTCTTTGTAAAATGTTTAACTTGGAAACGTTACATAGATGTTTTTGAGAGCCCAATTCCAAGAATTTTTTAATCAATGAATGATCAGGACCCTAACATTAAATTCACTATGTATTGTAATAAGTTTACTGTCCCTTTTTTGGATGTTCAAGTACACTGTAAAATATTCTCTCCCAGGTAAACAATGTGTAACATTATTTCTCTACCCCTAATGTAAAACCTCTTAACAAGATTAACTTTTATAAACAGATCTCCCCTTTACAGACTAAACAAGATTAAGAGGATGATTTAAACTAGTCTTTGAACTTTTGTTATTCTGTATAAGCGACGCATGATTATCCCTTGTTTTTAATGTTTTTGTGAGATTAATAAAGTTTATTTTAATTACGTCACCATGGACGACGTCGGAATGTCCATTGTAACGCTACTGCGTCCTCACATGGTCACTTTTGGGGGCATGACACGCTGACTGTAATGGCGGCCACCATCACAAATATGGTATATATACCCAAGAGTCTCATTCTTTAATCAGGGCCTTCGAAGCGACATCAGTGTCCCAAGCGCATAGCCCAAGATACCTACAGATACCGGCACGGAGACCATCAGCGGTTATCCAGATACCTGAATTCAGCTCAGGACATCGACGCAAGAGATCATATTACAATATAGCACCCTTTGGCCAGCTACTGTAGACTATAGTAACAATATAACGATACACATTTGGTGGATCCACCGGCTAGATTATGAATTACTGATCTTGATTTACTACGATTTTGTTAGGGAAGGGGGTAAATAGGAGGTTCTTGTACATTATATCAATTCAACTATTTACATAGAAACATAGAATGTGACGGCAGATAAGAACCATTCGGCCCATCTAGTCTGCCCAATTTTCTAAAAAACTTTCATTAGTTCCTGGCCTTAGCTTATAATTAGGATAGCCTTATGCCTTTCCCACACATGTTTAAACTTCACTGTGTTAACCTCTACCACTTCAGCTGAAATGCTATTCCATGTATTCCATGCATTAACATCCCTCTCATTAAGTAATACTTCCTGATATTTGTAAACCTTTGTCCCTCTAATTTAAAACTATGTCCTCTTGTTGTGGTAGTTTTTCTTCTTTTAAATATAGTCTCCTCCTTTACTGTGTTGATTCCCTTTATGTATGTAAATGTTTCTATCATATCTCACCGTTTAGTCTTTCCTCCAAGCTATACATGTTAAGATCCTTTAACCTTTCCTTGTAAGTTTTATTCTGCAATCCATGAACCAGTTTAGTAGCCCTTCTCGGAACTAAAGTATCAATATCCTTCTGAAGATACGGTCTCCAGTACTGCGTACAATACTCCAAGTGAGGTCTCACCAGTGTTCTGTACAATAGCATGAGCACTTCCCTCTTTGTACTGCTAATACAACCAATCATTCTGCTAGCATTTCCTGCTGCTCTATTACATTGTCTGCCTACCTTTAAGTCATCAGAAATAATCACCCCTAAATCCCTTTCCTCAGATGTTGAGGTTAGGACGCTATCAAATATTCTGTACTCTGCCCATGGGTTTTTACATCCAAGATGCATTATCTTGCACTTATCCACATTAAATGTCAGTTGCTACAACTCTGACCATTTTTCTAGTTTATCTAAATCACTTGCCATTGGCTTATCCCTCCTGGAACATCAACCCTGTTACATATCTTAGTATCATCAGCAAAAAGACATACCTTACCATCAAGACCTTCTGCTATATCACTAATAAAAATATTAAAAAGAATGGGCCCAAGTACAGATCCCTGAGGTACCCCACTGGTGACAAGCCCATGCTTTGAATATACTCCATTGACTACAAACCTCTGTTGCCTGTCACTCAGCCACTGCCTTACCCATTCAATAATATTGGAATCCACACTTAAAGGACCACTATAGGCACCCATACCACTTCAGCTCAATGAAGTGGTCTGGGTGCCAGGTCCATCTAGGTTAACCCTGTAGCTGTAAACATAGCAGGTTCAGAGAAACTGCTATGTTTACATTAGGGTTAATCCGGCCTCTAGTGGCTGTCTCATTGACAGCCACTAGAGGCGCTTCCGTGTTTCTCACTGTGATTTTCACAGTGAGAAGACGGTGCTGTCCATAGGAAAGCATTGAGTAATGCTTTCCTATGGACTGATTGTATGCACGTGTGGCTCTTGCCGTGCATGCGCATTCGGCGGATGACGTCGGAGAGAGGAGTAGAGTCCCCAGTGCAGAGGAAGCCTGGCGCTGGAGAAAGGTAAGTGATTAACCCCTTAAGCCCTCTTGAGCCTGGCAGGAGTGGGACCCTGAGGGTGGGGGGGACCCAAAGACCCTATAGTGCCAGGAAAACGAGTTTGTTTTCATGTCACTATAGTGGTCCTTTAAAGATTGCAGTTTATTGAAACAAAAAAAATCAATAAAATTAGTTTGTCATGATCTCCCTGTAGTAAACCCATGTTGTCTCTGATCTTGAAATCCATGTGATTTTAGATGTTCAACAATCCTATCCTTTAACATGGTTTCCAATACTTTCCCTACTACTGAAGTAAGGCTTACTGGCCTATAGTTGCCCGACTCCTCCCTACTACAAGATAGGTTATGGCACGTTGCATCAAATGATACCTGTTTCTGCACTATTCTGTATATCGTTTTTAATTTTTTTTTCCTTTTTTTGGATATCGTTTGGTAATTAATATATTTTCTTTTGATGCATAGAAAGTGTGTGTGCGGTATTAACATTGTAATTTTTTTGTAAATGAGTTTAAGGGTTTTTGAGGAGGGTAACCTAACACCATAGGCGTGCGCAGCCTATTGTATAAGGGTGTGCACCCTAAAGCACAAACACACACACACACACACATATATACTGCTGTGTGTGTGGGGGCACTGTGTGTGTGGGCACTGTGTGTATGTGAAGGCGCTGTGTGTGTGAGGGTGCTGTTAGTGTGTATGTGTAAGGGTTCTGTGTGTGTGAGGGTGCTGTTAGTGTGTATGTGTGAGGGTGCTGTGTGTGTGAGGGTGCTGTGTGTGTAAGGGTGCTGTGTGTGAGGGTGCTTTTAGTGTGTGTGTGTGTGTAAGGGTGTGTGTGCTGTATGTGTGTAGATGCTATGTGGGTGCTGTATGTTTGTGTGTATTGTGTGGGGGCTGTTTAGTAAATATCCCCCCTCCCTTCCTACCTTATGCCTGGGAGGGGGGATCCTTTCTGTTGCTTCCATTCCTGGTGGTCCAGTGGAGAGTGAACTCTAGCCTGCGGGGCTAGAGTTAACTCTCGCGAGATCTGAGCTTTGCCACGGCAACGCTCAGAATCTCGCGAGAGGAACCCGGCGGAGCTACTGGCAAGAGCTCCCCGGGTCCTCCCCTGCCTCCATCCCTGCCTGTGGGTCGGTGGGGAGGGAGGCTGAGAGCAGATAGCGCCGTCTCTGCATGAGCCGACAGGGGAGATCCTGAGATCTCCCCTGCCGGTCTCAATATACATAGGCGTGCCGCGGGGATTAGGGTGTGCCCAGGCACACCCCGCACAACCCGTGCGCACGCCTATGCCTAACACGTGCACCACTTTGCAGCTGAGTGCAACACACCTTTTTAGATTTGTTTAGAATAGGCTTTTTTAATTTAAGGGGGTGACTAGGGGACACCTAGTCAAGCTTGTGAAGAGAGGGGGAGCTATTTTTACATTTAGACCCCACCCGTTGCCCATGGACAATAGGTCCCCCCTCATTCTCACTAGTGCCCTCACCTGCAACCTACGGCATTCATTGTGAAGCTGCATTCTTAGTGAGCTGTCCAGGAGGTGGGAGGGTCTGGGAGGGAGGGTCTGCTGCTGATTGGCTGGAATGTGTCTGCTGACTGTGAGGTACAGGGTCAAAGTTTACTCAATGATGAGTCTGTGGTGAACCGTTCGTGGCGAACTGTTCGCGAACCGTTCGGCTAACAGTTCAGGACATCACTAGCATCAACTCAACTTACCGTGTTTGGAGGAGGAGGAATGCTGCCTATGTAACATAGAAACATAGAATGTGACAGCAGATAAGAACCATTCGGCCCATCTAGTCTGCCCAATTTTCTAAATAATTTCATTTAACTACAAGAACACCATCCCCACCGTCAAAAATGGAGGTGAAAACATTATGCTTTGGGGGTGTTTTTCTGCTAAGAGGACAGGACAACTGCCCAGCATCAAAAGGATGATGGATGGGGCCATGTACCATTAAATCTTGGGTGAGACCTTCCTTCCCTCAGCCAGGGCATTAAAAATGGGTCGTGGATGGGAATTCCAGCATGATAATGACCCAAAACACACAGCCAAGGCAACAAAAGAGTGGTTCAAGAAGAAGCACACTAAAGTCCTGCAATGGCCTAGACAGTCTCCAGGCCTTAATCCAATGAAAATCTGTGGAGGGAGTTGAAGGTTTGAGTTGCCAAACGTCAGCCTCGAAATCTTAAAGACTTGGAGAGGATCTGCAAAGAGGAGAGGGACAAAATTCCTCCTGAGATGTGTGCACACCTGGTGGCCAATTACAAGACACGTCTGACCTATGTGATTGCCAACAAGGGTTTTGCCACCAAGTACTAAGTTGAAGGGGTCAAATACTTATTTCACTCATTGACATGCAAATGAATTTACAACTTTTTTGAGATGCGTTCTGGATTTTTTTTTTTTCCTCTGTGTCTCATTGTTAAAATACACCTACCATTAAAATTATAGACAGATCATTTCTTTGTCAGCGGGCAAACGTTCAAAATCAGCAGGGGATCAAATACTTTTTTCCCTCAATGTAGATATATTCCAAAACAACAAAGAAGAAAAGAAAAAAAAAAAAGAAAAAAATGTAAAACCAAAGTTCAGTGTTCAATCTGTATAGTCTTTTTGTATTATAAATGAAGTCCAAAAAAAAAAATGTATAAAGAAAACCTTGTTGCAATATTGTCCCTATGCTACATTAAACAAAATAATGTAAAAATGTTGGACACAATTTGGTGAATAATATAGTACTTTCAGTGCATTTTTTCTTTGCATTTCAGTGCAAAATCCCAGGGAAAGAATCTCACAGTAATAATTCACAATTACCATTACACTGGTAGTGAACTAAGTCCTCCGACTGTGCTTTCATACACCTTTTGCCTTCACGGAGCCAGTTTCACCCCCTTTTGGACCAGTGGGGGTTATCCGTTCCCCACTGGGTCGACTCACCTGGGCACGCACTCAGGCTGAATCGCGTGAGGCCACATGGCGCGACCAACATGGCGTCCATGTCGGACCTGCATCACAGCAACACAAGCCCAGAATGCCGAGAGTGGAGAGATATCTTCCTTAAAAGATTTGACTCCATCTGCCAAAGGTTCTGGCTTCGAATAGAGAGCAGATTCCTCACACTCACTCCTCCTGCTGTAAAAAAGACCCGGAGTGATATACCAACTGCCCGTTCCTCTTCTGGGCGGGGAACCTAAATGGAGAAATCTCCACTTCGTCGTCCATATACCTGGAGGCTATCCCAGATGCTGGTGCGCCCACGGGCCAACTATCCCGCTGCCTTGATACGAGAGTTCCATGGACGTAAGGTACGGCTCCCATCCAGGCCTAGGGCCGAAGATACGTAGCAAGTCTGTCCTAAAGTTCGAAAAGCAATCTACAGTGTGGTCTCCAGATACACCTGCC